ATGAAAAAAATTTTAAAAAAAAAAAAAAAAAAAAGTTGATTATCCTAACTGTTAACTATTTACATTTGATTTGTACAAACACATTAATATATATTAATTGGCACATTAATATATATTTCTAATGTGTGGTTACAGATATTGGCTGCTTTACAGTAACTTCAAACATGTCTCATTCAATCAAATATTATTGCAAGAAATACCTATTTAAAAAAAAAAAAAAAAATGTTTTTCATAATTTATGTCTGTAGGTGGAGCCCACAATGCAGCAGTATGAGCTAGACACTTTTGGGAAGAGTCATGACCTGATGTCCAATTTTTGGAATTCCTGCTTTGATGACCTCATGAGCACTGCACAGAGGAGAGACAAGGACCGCTCCGACTGCAAAGCCAAGTTTCAGGTGTCTGTTAACACCATTTATTCAAACACAGAGGGAATATGTTCGGCTAGTAAACAAAAGATTGGTGTTCAATCCCCACACAGAGCAGACCATGAGTTTCTACTGCTTGGGGATACTGGGATTATTCATTGCACATCTCAAACCCCAGCCAAACCATACATGTTTTTATGACAGATGAGTTAATAACATGGACTGTTTGTGTTCCTCTCTTTACAGGAGCTCATCATTGACACGTACCTGAAACGAATGCGCACAGAGAACAGCCGCTACCACGGTGTGCAGAAGATGATTAATAGCCAGCAGGGTGTGGTGTGGAGGCACTGGAAATCACTGCGCAGGTTACTGAGCAGTGAGAGAAGAGCGTGGGCACTCAGGTCTGCATACATTCAAATGTTTTGATTCTTAGTGAATATTATGCATTGATGTATTTTTTTCGTTTATCTCCCATTTACTTTGCACCATTATCATCACTATCAGACTAAATAAATAAATAATGTATATAGAGGGAGAGATTTAAAGGGATAGTTCACCCAAAAATTAAAATTTGCTGTTAATTTACTCACCCTCAGGCCATCCAAGATGTAGGTGACTTTTTTTTCTTCAGTACAGTAAAGAAGAATTTTAGTTGAAACCATTGTCCTTGGTAATTCATAAAAGGCAAGTCAATGGTTACCAGCATTTTGAGAGTCAAAAAAAGCAACACAAGCAACACAAAATTAATTCTGTGGCTCCTGAGTATATATTAAGGTCTTATGAAAAGAAATGATTGGTCTGTGCAAGACAGTGAACATTATGTACATTATATCATCAGGAGCTACGGGTATTAATTTTGTGTTGCTTTTTTGATTCTCAAAGTGAATCGCCAAAGACCATGGTTTAAGCTAAAAAAATCTTCTTTACTGTTCTGCTGAGGAAAAGTCACCTACAACATGGATGGCCTGAGGGTGAGCAAATTAACAGCACATTTTCATTTTTGGGGTGAACTATCCCTTTAAGATGAATAAGATTTAAGCGATGTCAAAAAACCTGAGACTACATTGGAAATCTGGGATTTCAAATTTCATTTAAACCTGGAAATATAGACATGGGGATTTTGGGGGATTTTAAAAAATATATAAAACTTGACTTAATGTTTATGTAGGATTTTTCACTCATTTTGGGTCACTAAAATCTATTAAATTAAATATATAAAATCCCAAATAGAAGCAGTCAGACTGTTTTGTCTGACTGTTGTAGCTCACTGTGTGAGGTTGAGTTGTATACACTGATGTTGTATATTAAGGTATTATATTGCGGTGTGTGTGATGATGGACTGAGTGGAAGTGTTTGTGTTTCAGGGTTCAGCCAGAGGTGAACTGGAAACTGTCGAGCGCAGAGACGTACTCTAAGATGCGTCTGAAGCTGGTGCCAAATTACAGCTTTGATTCCCACAGTGATGCCAGCGCACTGAGAGATAACATGGGTCAGTATCACTCTGGAAAATGTCTGCGTAATCTGTTAAAATCAATAGTGAGTAAAAGATCTCACAATGACTGTTGGTAAAATCATTTTGCTTTGACCAGATATTTTTAAATAATCTCTGTCTGCTTGAACTCCGTTATTTCACTGTTAATATTTATATATTGGAGTGTTTTGGTGTGTTTTTTTCTGCAGGAGCCGACAGCCCTCGCAGCTCAACCGAGCCCATCCCTCTTGCTGTTGCAAAGGAAGCCAAAGTTAGTGACATGGAGGATGACAAACTAGAGGATTTTGAAGATTTTGTCTTCATTGATGAGTAAGTGTTTTCATGTAACTCTGAGACACATTTGCTTTGTAAAGTAAGTTATCTAAACCAGTTGATATAATATATAAGTTGATATAATAATAATAAGAAGACGAACATATCACATTCATATTTACATTTACATTTAGTCATTTAGCAGATGCTTTTATCCAAAGCGACTTACAAATGAGGACAATGGAAGCAATCAAAATCAATAAAAGAGCAATGATATACAAGTGCTACACAAGTCTCAGTTAGCCTAACGCAGTACACGTAGCAAGGGTTTTTTCTTATATAATAAATAAAAAGAAAACCGACAGAATAGAAAAATAATAGAGCAAGCTAGTGTTAGAGGCCTTTTTTTGCTTTTTGTTAATTGTATAATAAATAAAAAGAAAACAGATAGAATACAAAAAGAATAGAGAAGCTAGTGTTAGTTTTTTTAAGGAAAAAAGCAGTTAGTAAATAAATAGAGTGCAAGTCTAAAAAGGGCAAGTTTTTTTTTTTTTTTTTAATTATGGTGTCTTCAAATGTAGCTTCAAATGTCTTTTTTTCAAAATCTGAACTAGGTTGTTCTAAATATCAGCACGGCCCAATAAGTTTAATAAACAAGAAGTTAATATTGAGTAACTTACCAGTGTTATTTTAGATTTATTTATATAAAGTTACAGTATTTATTATTATATTAAATAATTGATTTATTTTTATATGTTCAGTTTTAATTTTAATTATACTTAAAGTTTTAGTCATTTTATTGCATGCTTTTGTAATGTTTATTAGTTTTTTTAATTCATTTGAATTTCAGTTTTAGTCATTTTTGTACATCAACTTATTTCAGTTAGTTGCCAAAACAACATTTCTCATTTTTGTTTGTACGTTTTTCTTGTGATATTTATAGTTTATTTAATTTGAGCTTTATTTCAGTTACCAAACACATTGTTTTAATAGTTTTGGTTTTCGTTAACTAAAGTCTGTTTAGTCTATTTATACTGCAAATAATTCTTCACTGAAGTCAAAGCAGAATTAACTGTTACACGTTCCAGTAGACGCACAGTAGTGGTGTTTTGTTCCCGAATGAATCTGTGTTTTTGAATGAATCGTTTGAATAATGATTCAGCCTTTTGATGCCTGCAAAGGCTTTGTGTGTACAGCTTTTGAGATGTGTTTAGTGTGATCGAGTGTATGTTCAGGTAATATTGTAAAATATAATAAAAATGTGTTTTTTTTTTGTTTTTTTTTTAAGATTTATTTTTGGCGTTTTATGCCTTTTTTATTTAGATAGGACAGTAGGTCGACAGGAAGCGAAGTGGGTGAGAGAGAGAGGGGGGTGGGATTGGGAAAGGTCCACGAGCCGGGACTCGAACTCGGGACGCCCGAAGCGCAAAGGCGCTACATGTCGGCGCGCTGCCCACGAGGCCATCTGCGCTGACTATTTAATGCATTTTAAACTATAATTTATTACTGTGATTTTTTTGCAGCCGTCTTCGGTCACATGATCCGTCAGAAATCATTCTAATATGCTGATTTGATGATTATTAACAATTATTATTGATGATCAATTATTGGTAATTTTTATTATTATCAGTGTTGAAACCCGTTTTTGCTGATTCATATTTTTGATGATTAGAAAGGTCAAAAGAACAGCATTTATTTGAAATGGCAAAAACTGTTTTCAGTATAATAATAAGAAATGTTTAAAATCAGTAGCAAATCAGCATATTAGAGTGATTTATGAGGGATCATGTGAGACTGAAGACTGGAGTAATCGCTGCTAAAAATTCAGTTTTGCCATAAAAAGAATAAATTGAATTTTAAAGTATATTAAAATAGAAAACTTTATTTTAAATTTTAATAATATTTCACAACATTACAGTTTTTCATTAAATAAATGCAGCCTTGGTGAGCATAAGAAACTTCTTTCCAAAACATTCAAAAAATCTTAATTATTCCAGACTTTTGACTGGTAGTGTATGGGATAAGATATGATTAATGATTCTAATGTGAATGCTCTGGACTGCCCATCTTTGCAGGCATTGGGTTTGATTTCAAGAGGCCATTGTCACAGCTAAGGGAAGTCCACCTGAGGCGCTACAACCTGCGGAGATCGGCATTAGAGCTGTTCTTCATCGACCAGGCACACTACTTCATCAACTTCAGGAAGGGGGTGAGCTAGACACATACTAACTGCTATACTGCAGGAGAAACTACAGTGGAACAGGATGCTGCATAGTAGATGGCCAGAAGCATGGTTGGCATTTTGTGTTTTTATATTTGTTTTGATTCTCCAACAGGTCCGGAACAAAGTCTACTCCAGGATCCTAGGTCTCAGACCACCCAATCTCTTCTACTTTGGTTCTCGCTCTCCTCAGGAGCTCCTGAAAGCCTCCAACCTGACTCACGTATGTCTGATGTGATGCCAGTATTTTCCATTTTTGCTGGTTGGACTCATTCCTGCTCTCTCCCAATCCAATTCCTCCCTTTTTTGCCATAGTTTCCTATGCCCTCTGTGCTGTATCTGCCAACAAAAGCTGTCAAAAAGCCTCACCCCCCAAAATTTCCAGATCTAACTATTGTTTATTTTCATTTTTGTTTCTATTGCAGAGATGGATTTGCAGAGAGATCTCCAATTTTGAATATCTGATGCAGCTCAACACCATTGCTGGTCGCACATACAATGATTTATCCCAGTATCCAGTGGTGAGTTGTCACAGAGCTAGCATTGATTTGGTTTTGTTTTGTAATTTTTGTTTGCCACTTTTTTTGTTCTGTTCTTTGTTTTTTGTTTTGTTTTCTTTTGATTGTTTTTTTTTTCCTTCTTTTGTTTTGCTCTATTCTGTTCTGTTTGTCTTGTTTTTTGGTTTGGTTTGGTTTGGTTCGGTTCGGTTCGGTTCTGTTCTGTTCTGTTCTGTTCTGTTCTGTTCTGTTCTGTTCTGTTCTGTTCTGTTCTGTTCTGTTTTGTTTTGTTCTGTTTGTTTGTTTTTTTGTTTTGTTTTGCTTTTGTTTTCCACACTGCTTGTCCTATGCAGTATCGCAGGGATGCTATAGCGTACCCAGCATCTCGGGGCTGAATTTATGTATTTTATTTCATTTAGTTTTTCAGTCTTTAAATTTCATTTTAAAAAGTAATTTATTATTTATTTTAGTAAACCAAGATTTCAATGAATTTATTTAAACTGGGTGATTAATATGCATTTTAATATCCATTTCGCTGAAAAAAAAAATGTGCGTGACTGACACTTCTGTTGTTGGTGGATATTATATGGGTCACATGTCTTCTTTTTTCTTCATGTGCATGTCCGTATTCTCAGTTCCCCTGGGTGCTGTGTGACTACACATCTGCTGAATTGGATCTGGAGGACCCAGCTGTTTTCAGAGATTTGTCCAAACCCGTTGGTGTCGTCAACCCTCGACATGCACAGAACGTCAGGGAAAAGTGAGACAGTGTTACAGTCCTTTTTGCAGAATTCTCAGTATCAGAGAATGTGTTGTTGAAAGATGTATCACAAAACTAGAAAATACCACAAGCTGATATCTACATTTATATATGTAGATATCTACATATATAAATCTGATTTATAAATATATTTAAATTTGTAAATAATAACAGTATGTTCTATAATAAGATAAAGCAGTGTAATGTAGCATCTTTTGAGTATTTCATCTGATTTTCTAAATGTCTTTTTGTTGTTGTTGTTTGATTAGGTATGAGAGTTTTGAGGATTCAACAGGCACTATCGATAAGTTCCACTATGGCACACACTACTCTAATGCTGCCGGCGTCATGCACTACATGATCCGCACAGAGCCCTTCACCTCATTACATATACAGCTCCAGAGCGGCAAGTAAGACACACACTCACACACCACTGCGCTCATACTGCAAGCTAAAGCCAGGGGTGTCCAATCTTGCTCCTGGAGGGCCACCTCTAGTTCAAACACACCTGAACCAGCTATTCAAGGTCTTCAGGATTACTAGAAACTTACAGGAAGGTGTGTTGGGGCAGGTCAGAACTAAACTCTGCAGGATGTTAACCTTTCAGGAGCAGGATTGGACACCCCTGCTCAAGGTTTTTTTTTTGTGTTTTTTTGTCCTACTGGAGACATTTGAACACAAATGTTGTATGTGTTTATTCATTCCAACGGTGCCTGAAGTACAAATGGAAATTTGACTCTAAGTTTAATGGTTTTAATTCTCCAAAAAAACATGAAGTGTCCATACAGGAATGTAGATCACCAACATCAAATTGTGAATATTCTGAATATTAATAATATTTTAAATATTGTAAATAAAATGTTATGCTTGTTGGCACTCCATAGTATTGACCACTAGGTTGCAGTGTTGTTCACTTGATGGTTTTCAAGTAATGTATATTGTCCTATGTTTGGGCTGCACTTACAAGAGTGATTGTGTGTGTGCTTAGGTTTGATTGTGCCGATAGGCAGTTTCATTCAGTAGCAGCAGCATGGCAGGCACGAATGGAGAGTCCAGTTGATGTGAAGGAGCTCATCCCAGAGTTCTTCTACTTCCCAGATTTCCTGCAGAACATGAACAGTCAGTGTGCCTCTCTGAAGCTTCTCAGTGATGAAAACTACACTGGCACTGAATTATGTTGGACTGATAGATTTTGAATTGTAATATGTCATGTGTGCAGGTTTTGATCTGGGCTGCTTGCAAATCAGTCAGGAGAAGGTCAATGATGTGTTGATTCCCCCCTGGGCGTCTTCGCCTGAAGACTTCATCAGGAAACACCGCAAAGCTTTGGTGGGGAAACAGACACAATGCACAATGCACTGATTTCAAAACATACATACTAAACAAAACAATCAATTATTTTTGTAACCTTTATTTTGTAAATATGTTTTGTGAAATACAAAATACTATTAAAATACCACAGTCTTACAAGTCCAGTGAGTGAGTCAGATGTTTCAGTTAACTGCTCTAACGAATTCAAGTTATTTGTTAGACTGATTCAAACTTTTAGAATGAGTTGTGGAAGGAATAATTCACCTACAAATTTTAATTTGCTGAAAATGTACTCATCCTCAGGCCATACAAGATATAGATGAGTTTGTTTCTGCATCTGAAAATATTTTTGAGAAATCTTCGATTACATCACTTGCTCACCAGTAAATCTTCTGCAAGTGAATGGGTGCCGTCAGAATGAGAGTCCAAACTTTTGATAAAAACATCACAATAATTCGCAAGTAATCGTCATGACTCCAGTCCATTAATTAACTTAACTTAATCTTGTAAAGTGAAAAGCTGCAGTAAACTAATCCATCATTAAGCTGTTTTAACTTTAAATCTGGCCAAAATACCAGTCTATAATCCATAATAACGCTTCCTGTTTTGGACAGTTTATGTTTGTAAACTGCTTGATCTGTGCATATTTCTCGCCAGAAGAGATTACTTTTTTACTGGAGAAAGCAATACTATGGATGGATAGAGGACTTGTATTTTAGCCAAAAGCAACAGTTTAAAGTTAAAAACATCTTATTGATTAATTTATTTATTACAAACATGCAGCTTTTCACAAGATGTTAATTGATGGACTGGAGTTGTGTGGATTACTTGTGGACTGTTGATGTTTTTATCAGCTGTTTGGAGATCACATTTGGGTAAACTACTCCTTTAAAAAGAATCAGCTCAAAAAGTCATTTGTTTGTGAATCGGCCAACATTTGTGCAATGATTTTCGGATGCATCCAGCAAAGAAAACTGACACAATCTCTTTGTGCATCTGTGTGTTTAAAGGAGAGTGAGCATGTGTCTGCTCACCTGCACGAGTGGATCGATCTCATATTCGGGTATAAGCAGCGAGGACCTGAAGCGGTGGAAGCTCTCAATGTCTTCTACTACTGCACTTATGAGGGTAAGAGCGCTCTTATGAGTTTGTATTAGTTTAAACATGTTCCTGCATGGAAAATATGACTGATCGCTGTGTGTTTTGGCTGTCAGGTGCAGTGGATCTGGACGCCATAGCTAATGAGACCGAGCGCAAGGCCCTTGAAGGCATCATCAGCAACTTTGGCCAGACGCCCTGTCAGCTTCTCAAGGTGGGACATCAGACAGATGTTTCCATCTCTAGTCAGCATAAACTTCATTTTATATGAGCTTCCAGGTCTGAAGAGTGTTATATAGTACGATAGTAATTAGTAATATTTTGAATTTGCTTTTATTTTTGTTTTCGGTTTTCATTTTAGTAATCTTATGTGCTTTTGTAATTTATTTTAGTTTTTTTTATATATTACTGTTTATTTTTATTTCAGTTTTAATTTATGTCAAGTTAGTCATCGATCTCATATTCGGGTATAAGCAGCGAGGACCTGAAGCGGTGGAAGCTCTCAATGTCTTCTACTACTGCACTTATGAGGGTAAGAGCGCTCTTATGAGTTTGTATTAGTTTAAACATGTTCCTGCATGGAAAATATGACTGATCGCTGTGTGTTTTGGCTGTCAGGTGCAGTGGATCTGGACGCCATAGCTAATGAGACCGAGCGCAAGGCCCTTGAAGGCATCATCAGCAACTTTGGCCAGACGCCCTGTCAGCTTCTCAAGGTGGGACATCAGACAGATGTTTCCATCTCTAGTCAGCATAAACTTCATTTTATATGAGCTTCCAGGTCTGAAGAGTGTTATATAGTACGATAGTAATTAGTAATATTTTGAATTTGCTTTTATTTTTGTTTTCGGTTTTCATTTTAGTAATCTTATGTGCTTTTGTAATTTATTTTAGTTTTTTTTATATATTACTGTTTATTTTTATTTCAGTTTTAATTTATGTCAAGTTAGTCATTTTAGTGCTTCAACTTCAGCTTATTTCAATTTGTTGCCAAGGCAAAATTTCAGTTAACAAAAATGCATTTAATATTTTCAGTTTTAGTTAACGCTAAAAACCTTGGTTCTGAAAGCATTTGTGTAATGTATTGTGGGTAATATGTCACAAGTGAAACCTCTCTGTGTAATTCAGGAGCCCCATCCTCCCCGTATGTCAGCAGAGAACGCATTCAGGCGGCAGGCCCGTCTGGACATTCTGCCTCCCAACCTTTTTGATCAGCTCACTAAACTCCGATCTTTTAAAGAGGTGAGCCCCAATTTATCAGTATTTCATTTGAACTGAATAATATGCTGAAATGCAACTTTTTGAGCACCATGTGCTAATGGTTTGATTTAAGGAGTTGCTGTGTGAAACTGGGATTTGAGTTGTTTCTGATGTTGGTTCACGTAGGTGGTGAGTGATGGTCTGCCTTTAGTCCAAGCCGTGGTGCCCAGAAATCAAACCCGCTCCTTTATCATCCCTGGTTCTGACATACTGGTGAGATTATTTCACGATTATGTTCACTTGTCATGTACTAATATTTGAATAAGATCAGAACCAGTCTTGAGGATCAAGAGAGTCTGTGGAAAAGGGGGTTAGTACAGTGGTTCTCAACCATGGGGCCAGGGGCCACTAGGGGGCCTCGGCAAACTTTCAAGAGAGCCTTAAGATGACTTAAAATGATGTAAAATAAGGCTTAAGGTTTACACGACAACGATGTAGTCAAAAACGGAAACGTTTTTCCCTTGCGTTTTTAAAAAGTTTCACATATACATGGCAACGTTTTCAAAAACGGCCAAAAACGCTGTATTATGTATGCCAGGCCAGTAGTTGGCGCTGTCACATTGTTAGTAAACCGTATCTGTAGGGACATGACGATTATGTGATGTATATGATGAGTCTCTGCTGTTGGTTGTAATATTGGTGAAGTAAATCCACACTTTGCTGAAGAAGCGTTAGCAAACTCTTGAGCAGCAACAACAGTACCATGTACTCCGCCATTGTTGTGTATGTTTGTTCGTGCTTGCCTTTAAAATCGACTCGTACTGCGCAAGTCTACATACCTACCACGTACTACGCACGCGCATGACATCACAGTTTTCAAAGATTCCCGTTTTGGGTGTTTACACGGAAACGATAACGGTGACGTTTTCAAAAATAAACTTTGAAACCCGTTTTCAAAAATATGCGTTTGCAGTCCCCAAACTGCCGTGTAAACGAACAGGCAAAACGCATAAAAAGTTTCCTGTTTTTGGCTGAATTTTTTTTTTTTTTTTTTTTTTTTTAACCTAAAAAAAAAAATCATTCAAAAATTCAAAAAAATAATGCAACCTATCACACTCAACTTGTTTCCTCAACTAGCAACCGACAACTTAAAGGGATAGTTCACCCAAAAATGAAAATTCTGTCATTAATTACTCACCCTCCTATTGTTCCAAACCCGTAAGACCTTCTTCGTTCATCTTCGGAACACAAATTAAGATATTTTTGATGAATTCCGAGAGCTCTCTGACCCTGCAGAGACAGCAAGGATCCTAACATGATCAAGGCTCAGAATCATAGCAAGGACATCGTTAAAATAATCCATGTGACATCAGTGGTTCAACAGTAATTTTACGAAGCTCTGTTTACATTCAGATCAAAGCGTAAACAACGTATCCGTGTACGGTGCTGCTGACACAGAACAGCATACATTGTTTACGTTGTTTTCTTCAGTGAAACATTGAAGAATATATTTTGAAGAATGTGGGGGGGGAAACAGTTAATGGTACCCACTGACCTTAATATCTTCAAAATATCATCTTTTGTGTTCAGCAGAAGAAAAAATATCATACAGGTCATATTTTAATTTTTTTGGATGAACTATCCCTTAACACGCACACAAAAAAAAAACTGATAATATTATAATAATTTTCTTTGTTTTAGTACAGCGACAGTATAAAAACTAATTAACTTTAATTGAATTATTTTTTGGAAACAACATTTTGTCTATCTCGCTCTTAATAATGCTTTCTCTCAGCATATGTTTTAGAAAGTGGGTCCTTCACAGATCATTTAAGGGTTCCTGATCAATACATTTGTTGATGTATTTGTTGAATGGCATTTGTGCTGTTTCAGGTGACAGTGAGTGTTAATGGAATGATAGGGACTCATAGCTGGCTGCCCTACGACAAGAACATAGCTAATTATTTCACCTTCACCAGAGACCCCACTGTGAGCAACCCAAAGTAAGTTTGAACATGTACATATGTCTAAACACATTATATAATCATGTTCAGAGACTTGGTGACTTTCATATAGTTTTAAAGACAAGAGGTTTTGATTAGGCACAAAGTTATTTTTATAGTGACAACATTGGGCTTTGGACAAATAACCAAAAGCTTTATAGCAGCTTATAAATAGCAGCTCTTTGACATTAAACTCTGGTGGTTTGGCTGCTTTGGTCTCTATGAATGTTCTTCAGTCAAATTGGGTCCTTTGTAGTAAAAGCTCATTTGTTTTCCCAAGCCTTTCTTGTTGTTTTTGAGTGGTCTGCTAACATGTGTCGAATCTGATGCTTAAACACAACATTGATCTATTTCGAATGTTCTCCCGCTGACAAGTTTAGTCCCATTTGTTGGTACTAACCTTTTGTTGGATCTGTTTTTAGGACCCAGCGGTTCCTCAGTGGGCCGTTCTCCCCAGGGGTGGAAATCGGGTCCCAGGTGCTGGTGGTGTCCACTGACGGGCGTCTGCTGTTCAGTGGGGGGCACTGGGACTGCAGCATTAGGGTCACTATGTTAGGCAAGGCCAAGCTGGTGGGCAGGATCTGCCGTCACATAGGTGAGAGCCGTCTGTCCGACACAGACGTACCCAAATAGTACAAAGCCAAGGCGCAGCTGTAGGCATTGGAATGAGCTTGATGGAGCTGTTGAGCTGAATCCTACATAAGATTAGCTGCCGTCAGATTTGGCAGAGATTTTTGCTGAATCATTTGTTGCTGAAACAGAACCATTAACCCTGTAAAGCCTGAAATATGATAAAATGTAAAAAAAAATAAAATAAATAACAGTTTGCATGTGTGTTTTTAATGAGTATCATATTTGATACATGAGGTGTTTATGACTCATGTCGTATGAGGCACAAACTGAGCAAAATTATGCAATTTGGTTCAGTTGCTGGTATTTATATTTATATATTACTTACATAAATACATATCTCCCAATAATATGTCATAGTAAGATGATATTTAAATGCTTATGATCAAAGCTCTCTTGTTTTTATTGTGAGGGCAAAACTTAATGTATTTCAATACAATGATGATTCAGAGATGTACAAATAAACATTCCTCAAAGGCCTGATGTATCATATTTGATATTCACATTTTATCAAGGTTTTTCTAAAAATAAAAACTGTATAGAAAATCAAGTAAACCAAAGTTCCTTCAGTCCAGTAAGTGTTCATCTTGAAATATTGCTAACAGTGTAAAACAGTGTAAAGTTTACTTTAGTTTAAAAATCTGTAAATATTAGACAAATTTACAGTTATACTAAAAGGTATTTTACTTTCTTAAAAGTATAAAGGGCAGAAAGCATGTAGTAGATTGTGTGCAACAAGTTTTCAGCAGAGTTTTGACCATGTTGATAATTTAGAGGCCTTAGAAATTTGACAGCTCTCTCTTGATTTCAACTTCTCAGATGATGTATGGTGCAAATTGCTGATTATATAATGCATTTGATTATGAACAAATATCCTGATGGCTAAATAATGTGCTTTTTTGTGGGATATAGATGTGGTCACATGCCTGGCTTTGGATCTCTGTGGTATCTACCTCATCTCTGGCTCACGAGACACCACCTGCATGGTGTGGCAGGTCCTACAGCAGGTTTGCTCACACAAAATATATATGTAAATATATATATATATTGTAGATAACAAGTTAATAAAAAAACAAAAGGGTGTGAAGGGTACATCTGCACCCATGAGCAGTCATTTAAATTTGAACAGAATGTACACTGTCATACAATTTTTATTTTATTTATTTTTTTACAATGTTAATACTTTTATTATGCAAGGGCACAAAAACATTGATCAAAAGTAGCAGTAAAGCAGCGAATCAGCATATTGGAATCGTTTCTGAAGGATCATGTGACACTGAAGACTGGAGTAATGATGCTGAAAATTCAGCTTTGCCAGCACAGGAATAAATGACATTCAAAAACATTTTTAAAATAGGAAGTTATAGAAATAGAAAAGTAATTTTAAATTGTACTAATATTTCACAATACTGCTGTTTTCAATTTAATTTTTTAGCAAATCAATGCAGCCTTGTTGAGCATAAGAGACTTTCAAAAACATAAAAAAAATTGTACAGACCCCAACATTTTTGAATGGTAGTGTAAATAGCCAGGAATAGAAATTAAATGCGTCAAAATATCAAATGTATGCTTTAATATCTGGGTATTTTCTCACATTATGTGTTATTAAGTGTTATTAACTTAAATCAGTATTTATTTAACTGATAATTACTTGAAGCCGTTATTGTAATGTTGTTATTCATTTGTTAATATTTATTTTTATATTTAAGTTTTGAAATAAAAGTGTGCTCAGGTACTTTTTGGCTGTTATCAAGATTGGTGTTATTTTACTGGTATACAGTCATTTAGCTATTGCGACAACTATTGCTATTGTGATTAGTCTTTATGTTGCTATTATAAGTTATTTAATACTTCGTTGAATTAAAGAAAAATAGTTAGCATGGTTATGTATTATAACTAGTGAGTGTATTTTTTACATGTAGGGTGGTTTCTCTAGCGGTCTGTCTCCACGGCCCGTGCAGGTGCTCTGTGGACATGATCAAGAGGTCGCATGTGTCGCCATCAGCACTGAGTTGGATATGGCGATCTCAGGGTCAAAGGTCAGTTTAGATCAGACCACTTCAGGAGTTACTGCATTGCCGTTAGGAATCATGAGTTGATGAGTTTTCTCTCTGTTGCTCTCTTTTTCTCTCGTTCAGGATGGCACAGTAATCATGCACAGTGTGCGTCGTGGACAGTACCTGCGGACCCTGAGACCACCGTGTGAGAGCTGCTTTGCTGCCCCTGTGGCACACCTGGAGGTCGGCATGGAAGGGCACATAGTGGCACAGACTGTTATGGAGGGCCGCACTGCTGGAAAGGTGCTGATTGACAATGTTTGTCAGAAGAGTTTTTGAGTTATTGTGAGAATGGAAATTAACAAAAAATGTAATAAATAAAAAATTGTAAACCAAAATATGCTTTATGTAAGACCACTAGTGCAATGCTTCTCAAATCTGGCCTGCACACCTGTTTTTTTAAGAAGAGTTTTTGGGGGGGGTATTTGATATTTTTATATATATATATATATGTTTTTTGTGCCTGTAGGAGAAGTATGCACTGCATGTGTACTCTGTGAATGGCACTCTCTTAGCATCTGAGACCTTGGACGAGAAGATTTCAGCTTTGCATCTGGTGCCTGACTACCTCATCGTAGGCACACAACAGGGGAACCTTCACATTCGAGACTTGTACAGGTAAACACACCTCTAATGGTCATTTTAAATGTACACCTTGTTTAAAGGTGTGTAGACAGTATTTTTATTTTTTACATTTTTATGTATATTTTGAAAGAAGTAAATATTTTATTACAATTATAATTTTATTTAGCGTGGACATTTTGATTTGTATGAAAGCACATTTCTTCCACTGAATAAAAAATAAAAAGGTAATTGTGACTTTTTATTTCACAATTCTGACTTTTTTTTTCTCGCAATTGCGAGTTTACATCTAGCAATTCTGATTTTTTTTTTTTTTCAGAATTGCATGATACAAACTCACAATTCTGACTTTTTTCTCAGAATTGTGAGATATAAACTCGCAATTGTGAGTAATAAAGTCAGAATTGGGTGATATAAACTCACAATTGCGAGAAATAAAGTCAGAATTGTCACATAAAAACCTGCAATTCTGACTTTTTTCTTGCAATTGTGAGTTTATATCCCGCAATTCTGACTTTATAACTCGCAATTGTGTGACTTTTTTTTTTCTCACAATTCCGAGTTTATATCTCGCAATTCTGACTTTTTTTCTCCGAATTGTGAGATATAAACTCGCAACTCGAAAGTCAATTGTTTCTCGCAATTGCGATTTTATATCACGCAATACTGACTTTATAACACGCCATTGCGAATTTAGATCTCTTAAAGTTCTGAGAAAAAAAGTCAGAATTGCGAGTTTGTATCACGCAATTCTGCGGGAAAAAAAAGGTCAGAATTGCGAGATGTAAACTTGCAATTGCCAGAAGCCAGAAATGGGCTTCCATAGATTTGACTAAAATTTCAGTAAAGCCTTTAAAAAAAAAAAATGCTGTTGTTTTGAATTTTATATTTCTCAAAAAAAATCTAGCATTTTGAACATTCATAATAATAACTAAATGTTTCTTTAGCAGCATATTAGAATGATTTCTGAAGGATCATGTGACACTGAAGACTGAAGTGTGGCGCCGATGGCCTCGTGGGCAGCATGCCGACATGTAGCGCCTTTGCGCTTCGGGCGTCCCGAGTTCGAGTCCCAGCTCGTGGACCTTTCCCGATCCCACCCCCCTCTCTCTCTCTCTCTCTCACCCACTTCGCTTCCTGTCGACCTACTGTTGGCAACTTTTTTCAAAAATGCTGGCGGGGGAAGAGTTAAAGGAATAAATTACACTTGAATAGAAAATAGAAGACAGTTATTTTAAATTGCAATAATTTTTAAAAATATTACAATTTTTACTATACTTTTGATCAGACAGATGCAGCCTTGGTGAACATAAGAGACTTCAGTAGTGTAGGCGTACTGTACAGCTGCTCAGCTTAGCACGAGCTGTTTGATCATATTCTTTGATATTTTTTCCCATTGTAGTAGATGCATTCTTAATAAATCCTTTGTGTCATCACAGTAAATCTTCAGCAGCTGGGTCCATATTTGCTTCTCATTCCCAAGTCTCTTTTTCTCTGTCTTTGCGTGTGTTTAGTTTGAATCTGGCTGTTGCGCCCTTGGCCCTGAAGGTCCCTGTGCGCTGTGTGTCTGTCACGAAAGAGAGCAGTCATATTCTGGTGGGCCTGGAGGATGGCAAACTCATTGTGGTGGGAGCAGGAAAACCGGAAGAGGTGAGGTGGAGGGGTTGCCAGTAGGTTTTTACTGCCTGAAATAAATTCCATGCTGCTAAACTGTTATTAGTACATCTTAATGCTGACAGGCACAATTTACACCTTTAAAAATTTTGATTTTAAAAACAGTTTACTTTTACATTATAAGCGTAAGAATTTAAAAAATGACGGCATATGTACTAAATATTGAGGAAACTGTAAAAATTAACTTTAAAAGAAATTACTTTTTAATTTCTATATATATAAAAAAAAATGAATCCATGCAATCAACAACTGATGAATAGAACCAAGTTCCCTTCCTACGTTTTTTATTTTTTAATAATTCGTTAAGAAGTACATAGCAGTGCTGAAGAAAAGACATGTCGCTACTTCTGTGAGCTTATAGTGTTATTAGTTCAAGCTTATAGTGTTATTAGTTCATCATAATGTTGATAGGCACATTTATATGCTATTATGTGTTACAAAGTCAGAATTTTAAGTTTAATATCTCGCAATTCTGACTTTATGTCTGATAATTGTGAGCTTATATCTCACCGTTCTGACTTTGTAACACACAATTGTGAGTTTCTATCACGCAATTCTGAGAAAAAAAGTCTGAATCGTGAGATAAAATATTGCAATTACTTTTTTATTTTTTATTCAGTGGTGGAAAGAAGCTTCCATAGTGAATATTAATAGAAACAGTGGAAAAAAAATGTAAATAAAAAAACTATGATTATTCAAAATATACAATTATTTCAAAATATACTATTATTTATTGTTAGTTCTTAATTAATGTATTGTTAAAATGTGTTTTTAAAATGTGCATGAGGAAATTAATATTAACCAAGATTGATAAATGCTAAAAAAAAAAATGTTTAAATTATTGTCTGTTTTAACTATTGGGTAAACTACAATGGAAGCCCGTTTCCGCCACTGAATAAAAAATAAAAAAGGTAATTGCGACTTTTTATCTCGTATGTGATACAAACTCGCAATTCTGACTTTTTTTCTCAGAACTGTGAGATGTAAACTCACAGTTGCGAGTTAGAAAGCCAGAATTGTGAGATATAAACTCGCAATTCTGACTTTTTTTCTCAGAATTGCGTGATATAAACTCGCAATTGTGAGTTATTAAGAACTGTGAGATATAAAGTCAGAATTGTGAGATATAAACTGGACTTTATAACTTGTAATTGCGAGTTTATATCTCACAGTTTTGAGAAAGAATATCAGAATTGTGAGATGTAAACTCGCTATTGCGAGAATTGCAGAATTGTGAGATAGAAAGTCACAATGACCTTTTTTAAAAAAAAAATGTATTCAGTGGCGGAAACGGGCTTCCATAAACTACTGTATCATGTTACCAAAAAAAAAAAAAGAGATCGCCTTCCCTTTGTTAAAGATGTTAATTTATGTGTAACTTATGTGTTTAATTTTTACTCGAGTCAGCAATTTTTGGACTAAAAAGACAAAAAAAATCAATATTTAAACCTTTCTCCTAATTCAGGTGCGGTCTGGGCAGTTTTCCCGCCGACTGTGGGGCTCCACACGCAGAATCTCCCAGGTGTCCGCAGGAGAGACCGAATACAACCCTGTCGAGCCTCCTGCTAAATGAGCTCCTGCACGTGCCTTCAGCGAACACTGTGCATCCACAAGAGACGAGAGCGTCGGCGCTCCTGCACCACTCGTCCGCTTTCCTGCCCTTCTAAAACAGAGAGCTTGGGAACAAGAGTTAAGGGAACACAAGTGGTGAACATCCAAACGTGCACTTTTATACAAAAAGGGAAAAGAACATTCTTCTCGAAAATGCAATGGTTTATACTGCTTTTAACAGACAAACATTCCAAAGATTTTTGATCAGGCGAATCAGGCAGTCGCCTGCAAACTTTTTAAGCGTTGACGGCTAAGACTGAACTTTTTAAAAGCAGTATGTTCTGTCCTGTGAATCACAGACTGTCTTCTCACTGGCTGGAGCTCAGTGTGATGGACTTAGTCTCTGTCACTGAGTGACAAACCGTCATCACCTGAGCCGTTTTATAGTATAGTAGATCTTCTTATGCTGATTTTTGCTTTTGTACACTGGTACTCTGTCTGACACTTGAAAAGCTTCTTATATTAAACAATATGACGCCAGATTTTTCCATGGGATGGGCACCAACAGAGACATTTTAGCTCTGTGCATGTACAATATGTGGGTGTGGGTGTTTGTATTGCTTTGCACGGTTACTTGCAGACGCTTTGTATAACGCAATAATTAATGTGACGCCTAAATTAGAACAAGATCCTTTCACTCTTGTTTAATGGTGTGAAGCGCTTTGAGCCCTACTAAGTCTTGTGACTTGATTCAGTACCTCTGGTGCCTTAAAACAGGTAAACAATAGAAATGTCCATAATTATGATTGATTATGACATGAAATATATTAAAGGGGTAGTTCACCTGAAAATGAAAGTTTTGTCATCATTGACTCACCCTTATGGTCCAACCCTGTATGACTGACCTTCTCCTGAAAAAAGAAAATTATAATGTATATATTAAATTTTATAATTTTATATTTTAGTTTTATATATATATATATATATATATATATATATATTTAGATAATGGTCCAACCCTGTATGACTGACCTTCTCCTGAAAAAAGAAAATTATAATGTATATATTAAATTTTATAATTTTATATTTTAGTTTTATATATATATATATATATATATATATATATAATTAGTTAGTTATGGACTAATTCAATATGAATATCCATAACTACATTTTTAAAATATATTTTTAAATATGTTGTCTTTTGTGATTTAAAAAAAATAATACAAATTTAGGAACAACATGACATGAGTAAACGATCACAATCTTCATTTTGGGGTGAACTATCTATTTACTTAATTAGGTTCTGCTCATAAAAACAGCTTTTTTTTCAATATTGGCACACATTTATCTCTTTCGCACTGTGTAAATCTTTCATATCCTGTTATATATTATAAAAGGAAGTGCCTTTCCTGTTATGGATTTGTACAGCCATCACAAAAATCCTCTTAATCGTGAATACGAGTGCACTTACGTGTTTGTTTTTTCCACTGTAGGGCAGTGCGCTTTCTAAAATGGGCATAAATTGCACTTGATATAGAAGCTTTTGGCTTCTTTTCATATAATAGCTGCGAAACGGTTTCAGCACATCCTCACATGCCGCTTAACATGCTGTGCTTATAAACTCATTTACAGAAAATCTAAATCTTAACAGGAATTTTATCCATTTTTAACTCCGCATAGTGCCTCAACTGTTTTCTTCGCTGTAATTGTGAAACTATTTGTAATATGTGAACCATACACCAGCTAGACTTAATTGTCCTGAATGTGTTCGTTGGCTGTGGCCACAATTCTGTCTATGTTACCATTGGAATTTGGTGTTTTTTTCCTTCTTCTCTTGACGCACTGAATGCTTTGAAGGCTGTGCTGTGTGAGGGGTGTCTGTGTGACACATGGGTATTAGGGGGAGAGAGTAGAGGACACATCTTGCTGGCTTCTCTGGGATGGTTGCGTTAATTCTGTTGCTCTGTGCTGGATAGCAAAGCCAGCAGAGAAACTGAAGCACCGAGCACAATGGCCAGCAGTTATACACTGTTTAAAGGGATAGTTCACCTGGAAATTATATATTTTTTTTAGTGCTGGGCAACGATTAATCGCGATTAATCGCATTTGAAATAAATGTTTTATTTATTAATTGTATATGTGTGTGTAGGCTACTGTGTATATTTATTATGTATATATAAAGACACACATACAGTATATATTTGAAAACTATTTACATGTATATATTTATATAATTTATATTATATAGAAATATATTTCATATATAAACAACATATTTTTCTTAAATATATACATGCATGTGTGTGTATTTATAAATAAACAATAATAAATATATATACACATAATAAATATACACAGTACACACACATATATGTACACAAAAACGTTTATTTTGGATGCGATTAACCTTTGCCCAGCACTAATATTTTTCCCAGTATTGACTCACCTTTGTGTTGTTTTAAACTCGTATGACTTTCTTTCTTCTGTTGAACACAAGTAATTGTTACAATGAATGAACACTGGGTCTTTTAGACAGAAAAGCAGCATAAAAGTTATCCATAAAACTTGCATGTTAAGTTTTCTGAAGTTGTTCGTGTGAGTACTAAACGGTGTTATTTGCTAAAACCCTCAGGTGAGCTGTTATAACTGCTGTGACCGGAACACTGAGTCAGTTTGATTCATGAACGACTCATTCAGGCTTTGTGAACTGGATCGTTCACTGAAACGCTCCAACTCAAAAGAACGGTTTGTTCATGAATAATGACTTAAAGTTCCGCACTCAAAGCTACCGTACGAGTTCAGAAGTGAAACATAGTGTCGTATGGATCACTTTTTATATGGTTCTTTTGAAGCTTTAGTCAACATTCAGTTTAATTACATGAATGAGAGCAACCAGAACAAATCTTCTAAATCCTCTTTTTGTGTTCCATGAAAGAAAAAAAGTCATACCGGTTTGGACCGACATGACGGGGAGTAAATTATGACAATTTTAATTTTCTTCAGTGAGTTATTCCTTAAATACAACATTGTCCTCTGTATCACGTTCACTCATAGTTCAAACACTGCCACTGAAATTATTAGCTTAAGGGATTTTTAAAAAATGTGCGTTACTTTTTACTGCGTTTCATCGCCACACACGCACAAACCCTTGCACACACACTCTTGTTTGAGTTTTGTCTTGAAGTTCCAACAATAGAATTTAATTTGTGTTGGGAAACTGAAGCCAGAAGAGATTACGTCCTGTTTTTATGAAATGCTTACGACTAAACCACTCCACGATTCTTGTTATGCAGTTACTATGATGTTGTCGAACGGGATGAATTATGTTAAGCCTCATGTCTGTTCGAACAAATAATGGCTTCAGAAGAGATGTAAACAGCCATTCTCTGTTTCACAGCCTTCCTGTCTGAGTGAGTGATGTGATTGTGTAAATGTATATATGGTTTCTTTGAATTAAAAATAATAGTCTATATCAGTTGACTTGAGTTGTGACTTTTCATCAGTGTTATTTTAGGTTCATTGAGATACTATTATATTTTATTGTAGTCATTTTTATTTTTTATATATGTCTATTTTTAAAATATGTGGGTCTTAAAGTCTTAATTCACCCTTCCACAAATTAAGGCCTAAATAGGTCTTAAATTGAAGCAGAACTTCATGGCATTAAATATTGGCATTATATGTACTGAAAAAAATATCTTCCTCTCAGTATTTTTGTTTTCCAATACAAAAATCTAAACATCCTTAAATCAAGGTACGTCACCTGAGTTTTAAATGTAACGAAGCCTCGATTTCTGAGATATTGAGCAAAATGAAGTTAGTTTATGCTTAACACGAGAACAAACATACAGTATGTCCTTAGGGAATGAAAACTTGTTTTCCCTTTGAATTAATTTTCTGAGAAGTTGTATTTTCAAACTTTGAAGACATTTATGTTTAGAGGCCATACTGACATATTGTGTTCCATTCAATTTATTTTTTAAATATTCTTTACTGGGTCCTAAGTCTTAAATGTACCTTCATAAAACCTGCAGAAACCCTGTATATAGTTTTTATTCATTTTAGCACATCAAGTTAAACTAAATGAAAATGAAAACTGTTGTCTTGGCAGCTAGCTGAAATGAAATTTTTCATGTTTTATTTTATTTATTTTACTTCTAGTAACAAACATATTTTTATGGTTTTAGTTAACCCTGCTTTTCATCCAATAATCTAAATATTGTAATGCATTTTTTATTTTAAATTGCACTTTTTCATAAAAAAGTAAGCCTAAGCATTTGTCATAATTAATCTTACATTGTATTATTCCCTCTTCGATTTGACTCCAAGATGCTTAAATGCAGGTTGTATATGTCCTTTCTCTCTGACGTCTCAGCCTTTTCTTCCCTCCTCCTGTCCTGACGTGTTAAAACCTATTAGAGTTGAAGAGGTCACAGTTACACCACATTTATCTGAGCCGGGAATCCTTTGATCTCCCGATGGGCTGAACATCCTGTTGGCTGACCCATAAACACCCCAAGGGGTACGTTTGAGTGGACGACCATGGAAGGGGTGTCGGCTCTGGCATGGAGGGATGGAATGCGCCTCGTCCAGTCACTACATGCAGCAGAGCAGAGAGGAGATGGGACGAGCTGGTTATGGTGGCAATTCAGCTCTGATCTGTTTGGCTAACAATGGGAGGAGGGCTTGACACCTTGCTCTTAGTAGAACCAGGCATCTCCCCACCCCCAACAAGAAGAGACCGGGGTTAAAACGTCCTGACAATCACTTGCTGTCTGGGTAGTTCCTGAACCACAACAACCTGCAAACAACCACAAAGCCTCCGTCTCCCCCAACCCCCTTATCCCATCCCTGCGTTGTAAGGCCGTGGAATCATCTTCCATCAAAGTTTTATTATTTCTTTGCTGTGATCTTCAAATTCACACTTTGGTAACAGCTTGCCAAAAACTTTGCATCTGGGTTTATAGTTTTGTCCCTGCAGTATTCTGTTGACTACGAACCAGAGATTGCAAACTGTAAAAACTTGTTAATGACATGGCATGTATTTAATTCATAAAAAAAACAGTTCACACTAAGAGCGATAACTGTAGCGATAACTATACAATATATATATTACTATAGTGCCTACACCAATGAACAGTAACGTTCTGTTTATTATAATTAAGCACATTAAAAGGTCGTCTGGCATTTTAAGTGCTCAGACTCTTCTGGATTCTAATTGGCTGCCAATGTTTTTATAGTTCATTAGCTGGAAAGAAATCGATTCCATTTAAATTGTTTGTCTGTAGCTGAGGGGTGGACTTCACTATTCTCATAAAATTCAAACGATAGTTAAAACTTTATAGTTATCAGCCTCAATGTGAATCGGCGTTAAGTGTGCCCCTATTTTTGGTGTGTTTAGACCCGTTCACACCACAAACAATAACTAAGAAGGTAACTGTAATGATAACAGCATCCACTTAATAATAATAATTAATTCCTTACATTTATATAGTGCTTTTCTGGGTACTCAAAGCGCTTTATATTGTGAGGGGGGATCTCTTCATCCACCACCAATGTGCAGCATCCACCTGGATGATGCGACGGCAGCCATATTGAGCCAGAACGCCCACCACACACCAGCTTATTGGTGGAGAGGAGACAGAGTGATGAAGAATATGAATATGGGGATGATTAAGAGGCCATGATGGTCAGAGGGCAATGGGCCAATTTGGCCAGCAACAACATCGCTCTTCTGTATCGTTACCATTGTAGTTGTGGTGAAGACTAGTCTCATAGAATTCAAACCGTTATTTAAACAGTTTATTTTATTTTATTTATTTTTTTTGCATGGCCTCACGGGATAGTAGGCTAAAATGTCCACCAGATTCCTACTGTGAAATCTCCAAGGCATAATAGGTCCTCTCATACGGTTTTATGAATAAATTGATACTACTTATTTTGCTTACTATTTTCTATAGACCT